TCTTCAAATAAGATTATTTTCATCCTACTCAAAGTAATAATATATAATAGTCTGATAATAGTCTGGATAGAATAATAGTCTGGCTTGACTTACTGATGCATAAACTGTCACGGGGTATGGTGCAGGAGATCAGGAGTGCAGGCGGAAGGAATAGGAGGAGTCCAGATTCACACGGAAGGTAACATTTAATTCAGGATACAGGCAGGGATACAGGGTAACACGGGGTAACATTCGACATCGACCGACAATCATGGGTAAAACAGAGGGAACTAAATACACAGAATAATCAAACATAATGGGGTGAGAACAGGTGAAACAGATGATGATGACGAGGAACAGGTGGCTGATGAGGGAGTGAACACGGGATAGGGTGACGAGAGGATCCTGGGAAGTGTAGTGCTGAAGACAAGACAGACTGGTGCAGACGGAGGACTGTGACAGAACTCCCCCCTCCCGGGAGGCGTGACCTCACGCCGTCGAACAGAGGAAGGAGGGGGGACGAACTGGGGCCTGAGAGGGGCGTGGCCAGGGCGGAGCAGGCTGAGGGCGTGGCCAGGGCGGAGCAGGCTGAGAGCGTGGCCAGGGCGGAGCAGGCTGAGGGCATGGCCAGGGCGAAGCAGGCTGAGGGCGTGGCCAGGGCGGAGCAGGCTGAGGGCGTGGCCAGGGCGGAGCAGGCTGAGGGCGTGGCCAGGGCGGAGCAGGCTGAGGGCGTGGCCAGGGCGGAGCAGGCTGAGGGCGTGGCCAGGGCGGAGCAGGCTGAGGGCGTGGCCAGGGCGGAGCAGGCTGAGGGCGAGACCAGGGCGAAGCAGGCTGAGGACGTGGCCAGGGCGGAGCTGGCTGAGGGCGTGGCCAGGGCGGAGCAGGCTGAACGGTCTCCGGCACAGGCTGGACGGTCTCTGGCGCTGGCTGGACGGTCTCTGGGGCTGGGCTGGTCGGGCCCAGCGAAGAAGAGAGCTCGGGCTCGGAGAGACTGGACGGAACCAGCAGTGAAGAGCGTTCAGTCTCTGGAGGACTGGACGGAACCAGCAGTGAAGAGCGTTCAGTCTCTGGAGGGCTGGACGGAACCAGCAGTGAAGAGCATACTGTCTCTGGAGGGCTGGACGGAACCAGCAGTGAAGAGCATTCAGTCTCTGGAGGGCTGGACGGAACCAGCAGTGAAGAGCGTTCAGTCTCTGGATGGCTGGACGGAACCAGCAGTGAAGAGCATACAGTCTCTGGAGGGCTGGACGGAACCAGCAGTGAAGAGCATTCAGTCTCTGGAGGGCTGGACGGAGCCAGCAGTGAAGAGCATTCAGTCTCTGGAGGGCCGGACGGAACCAGCAGTGAAGAGCATTCATTCTCTGGAGGGCTGGACGGAACCAGCAGTGAAGAGCAGTCAATCTCTGGAGGGCTGGACGGAACCAGCAGTGAAGAGCATTCATTCTCTGGAGGGCTGAACGGAACCTGCAGTGAAGAGCATACAGTCTTTAGAGGGCTGGACGGAACCAGCAGTGAAGAGCAGTCAATCTCTGGAGGGCTGGACGGAACCAGCAGTGAAGAGCATTCAGTCTCTGGAGGGCTGGACGGAACCAGCAGTGAAGAGCGTTCAGTTTCTGGAGGGCTGGACGGAACCAGCAGTGAAGGGCATTCTGTCTCTGGAGGGCTGGACGGAACCAGCAGTGAAGAGCATTCATTCTCTGGAGGGCTGAACGGAACCAGCAGTGAAGATCATACAGTCTTTAGAGGGCTGGACGGAACCAGCAGTGAAGAGCAGTCAATCTCTGGAGGGCTGGACGGAACCAGCAGTGAAGAGCATTCAGTCTCTGGAGGGCTGGACGGAACCAGCAGTGAAGAGCGTTCAGTTTCTGGAGGGCTGGACGGAACCAGCAGTGAAGGGCATTCAGTCTCTGGATGGCTGGACGGAACCAGCAGTGAAGAGCATACAGTCTCTGGAGGGCTGGACGGAACCAGCAGTGAAGAGCGTTCAGTCTCTGGAGGGCTAGACGGAACCAGCAGTGAAGGGCATTCAGTCTCTGGATGGCTGGACGGAACCAGCAGTGAAGAGCATACAGTCTCTGGAGGGCTGGACGGAACCAGCAGTGATGAGCGTTCAGTTTCTGGAGGGCTGGACGGAACCAGCAGTGAAGGGCATTCAGTCTCTGGATGGCTGGACGGAACCAGCAGTGAAGAGCATACAGTCTCTGGAGGGCTGGACGGAACCAGCAGTGAAGAGCATTCAGTCTCTGGAGGGCTGGACGGAACCAGCAGTGAAGAGCATTCAGTCTCTGGGGGGCTGGACGGAACCAGCAGTGAAGAACATTCAGTCTCTGGAGAGCTGGACGGAACCAGCGGTGAAGAGCATTCAGTCTCTGGAGAGCTGGACGGGACCAGCGGTGAAGAGCATTCAGTCTCTGGAGAGCTGGACGGAACCAGCGGTGAAGAGCATTCAGTCTCTGGAGAGCTGGACGGAACCAGCGGTGAAGAGCATTCAGTCTCTGGAGAGCTGGACGGAACCAGCGGTGAAGAGCATTCAGTCTCTGGAAAGCTGGACGGAACCAGCGGGGAAGAGCATTCAGTCTCTGGAGAGCTGGGCGGAACCAGCGGTGAAGAGCATTCAGTCTCTGGAGAGCTGGACGGAACCAGCGGTGAAGAGCATTCAGTCTCTGGAGAGCTGGACGGAACCAGCGGTGAAGAGCATTCAGTCTCTGGAGAGCTGGACGGGACCAGCGGTGAAGAGCATTCAATCTCTGGAGAGCTGGACGGGACCAGCAGTGAGGGGAGTTCCGGCTTGGGAGGGCTGACGGTGAGCGCGGGCTCGGCAGGGCTGGCGGTGAGTGCAGGCTCGGCAGGGCTGACGGTGACCAGTGAAGATGAGGGCTCAGGTTTTGGAGTGGTGCTGGTGACTTCCCTCACGGAGAATGGGGATCCACAGCACACCCGCACCCACTCCACACAGGCGAGGAAATTATCTTCTGGACCGCTCCCTGGGAGGCGTGCCCGGGACCGCTCGCTGAGGCCGGCGATGTAGAAAACACACAGCGAGTGGTCCGAATAGTGAGTGAGGCACGCCAACTCCAGAAAGTCCCTGGTATGGGACTCCAGGGAGCGGTCTTCCTGGTGCAGACAGAGGAGGCGTACCGCTGGAAGGTCCATTATGCTCAGCTTCTTTAGTGGTCGGTCGATCTGTCACGGGGTATGGTGCAGGAGATCAGGAGTGCAGGCGGAAGGAATAGGAGGAGTCCAGATTCACACGGAAGGTAACATTTAATTCAGGATACAGGCAGGGATACAGGGTAACACGGGGTAACATTCGACATCGACCGACAATCATGGGTAAAACAGAGGGAACTAAATACACAGAATAATCAAACATAATGGGGTGAGAACAGGTGAAACAGATGATGATGACGAGGAACAGGTGGCTGATGAGGGAGTGAACACGGGATAGGGTGACGAGAGGATCCTGGGAAGTGTAGTGCTGAAGACAAGACAGACTGGTGCAGACGGAGGACTGTGACATAAACAGTATCGAACGATTTTGAGAGAAAGATTAACTGACCTGTCTTCTGCCCGTTTGGACCATACAAAACTTTGGGAGTTGAGTCGGCGCATTTCCAGAGAAAATAAAATGAACCCATTGTTTCTTCAGAGGCGGGGATGAAGGAACTAAAAAATACTTTTGTGTTCATTTGTACATCCGAACACTGAGCAACTGCCATGCTTCGCTCGTTTGCAAGCCATGATATTTCTCGAGGAAAAACTCAAATCTCAAAGCTATTTCTCTAGGAAAAGATAAAACCGCGCCTGCGCGTGTTCGTACTTCCTGTTCCTAGCTCGTTTTCTCATGGTCGGGCCAAATTCTCTGGGCGGGCGAAGCAGAGAAAGGGGAGTAACCTTTTCCCTATATGACGTAATATAGGGGGAGATTCAAGATCAGCACGTCTGAGCTGCAGATGGATGCAGAGAAGAGAAAAATAGCCAAAGCTCGGTTTACACTGATTGAAAATTCTAGACACGAGGTGACCAAATACAGTCTAGGGGAACTCATATTAATGTTAAAAACCTCAGAAAATGAAAATTTCATGTCAGGGGACCTTTAATGAGAGTTCACTCTCTTTGGCAGAGGAGGCAGCATCATTTATATGCCTTTTGCAAGGGTTGATTTTTGCTTGTGTGTGTTTGGAAAAGAATCACAACTTCCTCCATTGTTTTACTTTACAGGCATACGAGTTTCTCTTCTCTTTTATGGTCTCAACAATATGCCAACATTACCATTTTCCTGTTTTAAATGTGCAACAAACAGCTGATGCTTTTGTAATAAATAATCCCAGATAGCAAACTGACATTGAATCAACGTGGAAATATGACATCGAAACAACGTTGATCTGACATTGTTTTGCTCATCGAATTAACGTTGAACCAACGTCAGACGGGTCATTCTTTCAAAACTAACGGAAAATCAACTTGAAATCAACGCGTTGTTTCAACGTTATGAAAGCAAACCAATTTTCGATTGTCATTTAGCTTTGAAGAATGCCGCGTCTGACGTTGGTTCAACGTTAATTCGATGAGCAAAATCAACGTTGTTTCAATGTCATGAGAGACGTCGTTTCCACGTTGATTCAATGTCAGTTTGCTGTCTGGGATGTTTGTAATAATGTTAAAGACGGTCTCTGTCCTCTTCTCTCTGTCCTCATGAGAGCTTAGATACTTCAGATCATGCTACAGTTTCATTATACAGCTTCAGTGCAGCGTTTCATGCTTCTAGATTTCATATCCACACTGCAGAATATTTCATGCATTTATTTCGGTTGCAGAACACTCAAAAAACAAATAAAGTGCAAAAAACATAAAGTGTCCTGAGTCTTTTAATATCAGTATACGTCAGGGATGGGAATCTTTCCCAGATAGCAAACTGACATTGAATCAACGTGGAAACAACGTCTCTCATGACATTGAAACATGAACAAGACCCATGTGATCAGAAACTCAACCCTCTTACAACACTCACCAGGAAGAGACTGACTTTTTTATTTCTCCTTTCTGTCATACTGACTTTAATGTCTTGACAAAAGCAATGAAGAATCAGCCACCAATGTAGAATTAAGAGGAAAAACTTTCAAGAAGGATTGGAAAAGCTGGTTTCTGAACAGACAGCAGATAATCTTTGTAACTCTTGTGCTTTTTCATTTTTGAAACCTTGATTCAGAAAGTGGAAGTAAAGTTTTCTGGAGCTCAAAAAGAGAAAATGGCTTCACTATCTGAAGATGATTTTTCTTGTCCCGTGTGTCAAGAAATCTTCAAGGATCCTGTTGTTTTATCATGTAGTCACAGTTTCTGTAAAGAGTGTATTCAACAGTTCTGGAGAACTAAGGAAACTCAGGAAACTCAGGAGTGTCCTGTCTGCAGGAGAAAATCCTCAAATATTCATCCTCCATGTAATCTTGTGTTAAAAAACTTGTGTGAGTCGTTCCTGAAGGAGAGAAATGAGAGGTGTTCATCAGTGTCTGAGGAGATCTGCAGTTTACACAGTGAGAAACTCAAACTCTTCTGTCTGGAGGACAAACAGCCGGTGTGTGTTGTGTGTGTTAATTCACAGAAACACGACAATCATAAATTTAGACCCATCGGTGAAGTGGTTTCATCATATAAGGTAAGATTGCTTTCAATGAGGATAAACACTTCATGGGATAGTTCACCCAAAAATGAGAATTGTCTCATGTTGTTCCAAACCGTAAGACTTTCGTTCATCTTCACACTTTTTGACTTTTTTAGATTTCTGTCTCTGATTTTCTGACTGTCCATTGACAGCAAAGCTACCACTTTGACGCTTCAAAAAGTCAAGTCACCTTTTATTTATATAGCATTATTTATTTATATATTTTTACAATACAAATTGTATTAAAGCAGCTTCACAGTGATAACATGAAAATAATACAACAAAGTTTGTTTCTAGAAGAAAATTGCATCAACGTCCACCTTAATTATACTGTTATAATTAAGTTAAGTTAAGTTGAGGTTAACTTATAGTGTCAAGTTTATTACACTTCAAAACACTTCAAAACACGATTTGATGCAACATGCAGTCTGTTGACTCAACTTACTGTATAAAGTAATGTGGACTGGAAAACATTACAAGAGAACTAAAAAAAATGTTGGTTGGAACTTATTTTTGTAAATGGACTGCATTTATATTGTGCTTTAAACAGACCCATGGCCAACAATGCACTTTACACATTGCCTCGCATTCATATACGAAGCGGCAGTGTCAGCCATGCAAGGCGCCATCCAGCTCGTCGGGAGTAGCCGGGGTTAGGTGTCTTGCTCAAGAAGAGATTACTATTAAGCCTAACTGATGTCAGAAATCAGCAAATCTAGATGTTAGCATTACACATGACAATCACAAGCTACTGGGGCAGCCAATACCACACTTATTGCTGACTTGCAACAACAACAAAAAAAAGGAACACAAAAGAATACCAACCACGCCAGTGTTTAGACCAGATCAGACGGGCAAAAATAATAACGAAACTAAAGGAAACAAAAAAAAAAAAAAAAAAAGAGAGACAGGAGTAACAATTAGATCAAATGTACAAGAGGCAAAGCAGCAGTGACAATTTTTCTGAAGAGAAAAACAACCACAAATAAAATCTATTACATACAATAAATGTAACCTATACAGGTATAAAAACCAACATTTCCTTTTACCTCTATGGTATGATACAACTCGCATTCCAAAAGGCAAAGGCCTTTCGCGTACATATCGTGCGTACATCTTCCAGCAAAGACCTTCGGTAGCTCAACAACATGCTACCTGGAAGCGTTAGGTACACCGTTACATATCTGTTGTCAAACAGTTACACTTTACACACAACTAGCTCGAACAACATGTTTTCGATTGAAATGGAGTGTTGACACATACCTTTCATAGGCGACAACACAGCGAACAGTTTAAAGAGGACGTACACATCGAAGGTTCACTCAGTTTTCCCCCTGATGTGCCAGTTTTATACAAAAGTGATTTTGACACTAACGAATAGCTAGCCGCTTACAAGCTAACTAGGGTGCGTGGCTGAGGGGAAGAAGGATACGGTGAGCAGAGAAGGACAACCTTACTACGACCTTTCATCTGCCGGTTACACTAACCTATTTCCAAAAAACTAACAAACATGAGATATTCATCACTGGTTTTGTTGACGGATAATTTGAGATGGAGAGACATTAGACAACTTTACATTACCAACAGATGAACTAGCTAACCTAAAACAGTTTTACTTGGACGGCTCGGCTCTGAGGAAAAAAGATGGCGGTCGGCTTTGATTTTCAGAGTTCAACACTGAAACTCTGAAGTGACCCACTAAGCAAAATGATGTCCAAAAGACGCCTTTTTAAAGTCTTTGTCGCAAAAGTCGGACGTTGAAAAGACATCCACTGAGGAACCAGAATGAAAGTTTTTATGATGTCTTTTTTGACGTGTTCTGCACGTCCGATATAGACGTTCATGGACCTTTTGTACAAGGTTAAAAACTAGTTCAAATGTGGTCATTGTGGACATATTTTTTACATCATTTATGGTCTCATTTAGACATAATTACTTTGACTATTGCTGTCACATAATCTTAGTGAGAATTAGCAGAGGTTAAGATGTTGATATTAGTTTCATTTGAAGTGTCACCATCAGTGTTTTCTTTGGCTGCTGCAACTGTGTGTTTGTATAACAAAATTTTTGTGACAGATACAGCCAAGAAAAAGTAACATCAGGGGCCTGTTTCAGAAAGGAGGTTAAGTGAAAACTCTGAGTATGTTAACCCTGAAATGTGGGAAACTCTGGGTTTTCTGTTTCAGAATGGGAGGTAAGTAATACCTGAAAAGGCAGGATAAAGTCTGTTTTATGCTTCTGCGTCGAATCGACGGCGTACTCCCGCAGACCCCTCTGCGTCGACGCGAACCCCTCTCCGAACCCTCCACCGTAGCTGGACGTGCACCTCCAAACATTTGTAACTACGCGTCAAAGCGACGCAGACAGCAAGAGCTGTGATTGGTCAGATTATACATCATTTCAGGAGTGTAGCTTTTCCAGTTTCCCCCTCCCGCTATAGTGCCATTTTAAAAATAATAATAATTCATTACATTTATATAGCGCTTTTCTCGGCACTCAAAGCGCTTTACATAGAGAGGGGACTCTCCTCACCCACCACCCACCACCAGTGTGCAGCATCCACCTGGATGATGCGACGGCTGCCATAGTGCGCCAGAACGCCCACCACACACCAGATTACTGGTGGAGAGGAGACAGTGATGAAGCCAGTTGGTGTATATGGGGATGATTGGGAGGCCATGATGGACAGAGGCCACTGGGCAAATTTGGCCAGGATGCTGGGGTTACACCCCTACTCTTTCGAAAGACACCCTGGGATTTTTAATGACCACAGAGAGTCAGGACCTCGGTTTGACGTCTCATCCGAAGGACGGTGCTCTTTTGACAGTATAGTATCCCCATTACTATACTGGGGCGTTAGGACCCACACAGACCACAGGGTGAGCACCCCCTGCTGGCCTCACTAACACCTCTTCCAGCAGCAACCTGGCTTTCTCAGAAGGTCTCCCATCCAGGTACTAACCAGGCTCAGCCCTGCTTAGCTTCAGTGGGCAACCAGTCTTGGGCTACAGGGTGATATGGCTGCTGGCTAAATTGCTGGCTATTTTGAACATTTGCACCCTCGTACTGATAATTTTAATACACTTATAAAGAAAGTAAATAAAGAATTAAACTAAAATAAACTGTTGTTTTTTATATAATTGTTAATATATATATGTCTATATTCTTTTCTTTCTTTTTTGCTCGCAATAAACTTCAATCAATCAATAAATCAACGTTTGTTTTGAAACACAGTTTGTTGTTTATTTTCAATTTATACCATGGTCTGGGTGAATACTCGATTCTGATTGGCTGCAGGGTGTCCGTTAAAAAAGTGATAGAGGACACCCAAGCTGTGTCTGAAATTGCTCCCTATCCACTATATAGTGCACTATATCGGGTGTCGGCCATTTTGTAGTGGTGTCCGAATTCTGAGTGAACGACATCATTCCTATACATTCATTCACTACTTTTACCCACAATCCTCTCTGAATTCGAGTGTACATTCGATGTACACTTCCTGAAGCCCTATTTCCCACAATCCAATGCGGAGAGAACTGAGCGCGCATGAAGGTGCGGCGCGAGCAAGTTTAAACCAGAGATTACATTACATCCAGTGGAGGATTTGAAAAATATCCGTTAATCGTCGTTTTGAACATAATAACGGTCGCCGGAGGGCGCTCGACGACACGTCATCTGTGAACGTGAGGGTTAATGTACAATTTCAGTCGATGAAACTACAAAGCTGGCACGGAGGTATAATTACAAAATAAAGTCATTATGATTGTTATTGTTGTTGATAATATTTTATAAAGTAGGTAATGTAAGATAAAAGGAGTTTTATCAGTACGCGTGACGAAGCCTTTTCTGCGACAGCTCCAACTCTCCGACGCACAGTTTAAACGTCAGCGTCCGAATTCACTCACTTCATCTCGTTCACTCCTTGCAGATATAGTGCACTCAAATGCCATACACTATATAGGGATTAGTGAATGAGTGAACGAGTGAGCGGTTTCAGACACAGCTCTAGGAAAGTAGTTCTGGTGAAACTGCCTGTTTACCATTCGAAATTAATAAATAAATGCGCTACCCACAACAGCTGTGAGTAACCATAGCAACAGGCAGTCAAATGCTCAATCAAAAAAAACATTTAACGTTAGATATTATATAGCCTAATACAACAATGAGTGACTTCGTTATTTCTTTTAATATTTATGGTGAATATGGCAACTTTGACGACTGGTATGCTGCTGAAGAAAGAGAAAATGTAAATAAAACGGAGAAATGACACAAAGAGATAACACCGGGAGAATTGAGTCAAATAGAAGACGAAAAAGATGAGATCAACACGAAAAAAAATACGAAATGGGCAGTAAATACACTCAGAGACTTTATTGTTCAAAAAGAAATGGACTCCAGCTTTGAAAATTACACCGCTGCTGCTCTGAATGAGACCCTGCGGGAGTTTTACGCAGCTGTCCAGACAACCAAGGCAGGAGGAGAGTACAGCGTTTCAAGCCTAAGGAGCCTGAGAGCCGGTATCAACCGCCATATAAGGGAATTCAATATTATAACTGACACCAGATTCATGACCTCTAATGCTGTGTTTAAAGCAATAATTAAGCGTTACAGAAAAAGCGGTAAAGATACCAGCGTTCACCATCCACGTATTTCTGAGTCTGATCTTGAAATCATAAAGAATTCACCTGTACTGTCTCCCGATACGCCACTTGGCCTGGTCAGAAAAGTCTGGTTTGACATCCAGCTGTGTTTGGCTCGGCGTGGCAGGGAGGGCAACCGGGAGCTCTCCATGCAGTCTTTTAAAGTCCAGAGAGACGAGGATGGGGTTGAGTTTGTCACCCTGTCTTACAATTCGCACACCAAAAACCACAACGATCCGAATGACCCAAATAAGGAAAACTTCCGAGGTTTTATGTTTGCCAGACCCAGAGATCCGCTGTGTCCGGTAAAAAGTTTCAAGTCATATGTGTCCAAATGTGCATCTGACGCAAAAG